TCCGTCCATCCCTCCGACCATCCGTCCATCCCCCCGTCCATCCCTCCGTCCATCCCTCCGTGCTTTTTTTTAATATGTATTCTTTCATAAACGCACCACAGCAAATTACTTTTATGTGTTACTTGGCAATAAACACGGATTCCGATTCTAATGCTGGCATAGATAGATAGATAGATAGATAGATAGATAGATAGATAGATAGATAGATAGAATGCATAAATTTAGTTGCACATCGCCCTTTGTTTGTTTTTGTGTTGTTTACGTATCCCATTAATTTATTTACCGTAGTCATTGTTGTTGCTAATATGATTCTTTTACTGTCCACAATTATCATGCCAATAAAGTTTATTGAATTGGATGTGGAGAGACCGAGAAAGAGAGACACACACACACATAGAGAGAGAGAGAGAGAGAGAGACTCCCTTTTAACGAACTAAACTCATGAACACTATACACATGTGAGTTATTGATTTGATGAAGAATTATATTTAATGATAGATGTGAAACTTCCTGAGCTACAGAGCTTCAGGCTACTTGTGACTATTTACTGTCAAGTGTATTTGCGCATGTTCCACGTGAAGCTGAGGTACAGCTGTCGCGATGGGTGTGTTTGTGTGTGTGTGTGTGCCCTCAGGCTGCAGTGTGTGTGTGTGTGTGTGTGTGTGTGTGCAGGTCGACTGGAATGACTCACAACTCGTGATCCCCGACTCTGTGCAGCGCTCAGACCTTAAAAGATGCTTTCTCCCCAATAATCCCTCCTGTGTGCAGCTTGTAGTCGTAGTGTAGAGTTAGATGCTTCCAGCTTCCAGCCCACATCCACAGCAGAACACACACACACACACACATGACTCCTGGGAATAATCACTGATTTCCATTCTTTAACACCCAGAATGAATAAGGTGGCACCTCTGCAGAAAAAGAAGAGACAGGATTTTATACCTTACTTTCTGGGATTTGTGATATTTTTGTATTGCACCGTTCATCTTGTGTCATTCACAGCAAACACAGCTCAGGAAACTCACTCCTCCAGGGTGCGCCGGGCTCTAGGTAAGAAAAGTACAAACTCTTATTCCTGTCATTTTGTATGTCTTTATTATTCTAATGTGTGTATAGTGTCATTATAAATGTTAACGGATATAGAGAGAGAGAGAGAGAGAGAGAGAGAGAGAGAGAGATAGATAGAGAGATAGACAGATAGATAGATAGAAGATATAGAGCATTAATTTAGTTTGTTTAGTCTCTAAATATGTTATAACTCTGATTTTATTCTAATGTGTGTAATTTTAAATGTTCTATTCTAATGTAATTTTTGTTATCAAAAAAGAAAAAGGAGAAATCAATTGTGGTTCAGTAACTGTGACTGTGTTTGCTCTTGAAGACACACACATCTTATTGGCATGAAATACCATGTAAGTGCCATGACGAGACGAACCTCGAGCCACAGGCTGTGCTGAGTGATGACCCCTGGGTGTGTGTGTGTGTGTTTTCAGAGAATGAGACAGAATGCATTTCACCACAGTCCTCAGAGTTTCCTCAAGGCTTCTTCACGGTGCAGGAGAGGAAGGACGGAGGCCTCGTCATTTACTTTATGCTCATCTTCTACATGCTGCTGGCTGTGGCTATTGTCTGCGACGATTACTTCCTGCCATCTTTAGAAGTGATCAGTGAGCGTGAGTGACATGAAACCTCTTGTGTACAATGTGTGTGCTCACTGTGATGAGATGTGGGGGCTACGTCATTTCACCAACTTTACAATGGGAACCATGAGGATTTATATCCCCGGATTCTCTCTCATTTCAATATATTCTGTTAGCCCCTTTATACATGGGCTACAGTTTTATAGCAATTTACAGTTTTCTTGTTATTTTGTGTGCACCATGTAAACGATCTTGTAATGTCAGGTCTCCTGCGTCTCTCTCAGGTTTGGGACTGTCTCAGGATGTCGCAGGAGCCACGTTCATGGCAGCTGGGAGTTCTGCACCAGAGCTGGTCACGGCCTTTCTGGGTAACCTGGCACTAGAACAATTATTACAGTCAGCGATGTTGATGACGATGTCAGGACTGTGATTAAGACATTATTCTGCTCAGTGTTATCTTTTTCAGCAGAGCTTCCACGTTGAACATTAGCTTCTTCCTGCATTTTTAGGTGTGTTTGTGACAAAGGGAGACATCGGGGTCAGCACCATCGTGGGGTCAGCAGTCTACAACCTGCTGGGGATCTGTGGCGCATGTGGACTCTTGGCCTCCATGGTACATCATCACAAAATTCAGACAATGATCACTCACCTATTTGTGCATAAGAGCGGAACATTTGCTGGGTCAAAGCCACAGAGTCATTGTGTACATTGTGATGTCCGAGTCATAAACCATTTATTTTTTCGTTTCTGTTATCAGGCAGGACGTCTCAGCTGTTGGCCACTGTTCAGGGACTGCCTGGCATATGGCATCAGTGTGGCTGCTGTTATTGCTATCATCTCTGATAACAAGGTCTACTGGTGAGTGTGTGTGTGT